CACACACACACACACACACACACACACACACACACACACACACACACTTCATTCTTTAAATTCAACGTGGAACATTTTTATCATCTGAAGGATCAGGGCTACTGGAGTCGTACCGGCAGCGACCACTTGGGTGGGTGCAGGTGCAGCAGGGGCAGCAGGTTTAGAGGAAGACTGAGGAGGAGGCGGTGCAGTGTGTTCTGCTACTACGTCTCCTGCAAATGATCAGATATCAGTGGAGAAACAGCAAGTTATACACACTGGCATATTACAAACAGTGTCAACAATCACAGACATCCCTTAACTGGTCCAAAAGTAAAAATCATTCTAGTTATATGGTGCCTCAGAAAAGTCAATAAATAGTGCAATAACGCACTGATGCCACTGTTGGGAGCTTCCTTTTAGGCTATACAAAAGTCAAAAACGATACATTAAAGTATTCCTTTAACTGACCAGGAGGAGGCGGTAGTGAGCTCAGGTCGACTGGTTCGCCTCTGTCCAGTGCCTCCACCAGAGTGTCCAGCTTCTGCATAAAAGAAGGTCAACTCCATTAGGATTGAGTTTTTCTACATAAAAGTATACAAATAGATTTAATCACATGATAACATTGACGTTGGTTCTGTTACCTTGGCAGTGAGGTAGTGCTGTTTCGCCCCGTCTATGTCGAAGTTCTGCTTGGCGTGTATGGCAGCGATCTTATACTCCCTCTGTCTGGACAACACTGCCTGTTTCAGCTCTGAATGGAGGGAGGGCAGACAGAGACAACGTTAGATAACGAGAGAACAACATAGAAACAAAAACAAAACAAAAAGACTTGTTGGTTTCAAAGCTCAGGAGGATCACGGTGACATTTAGCAGGACATTTGTGAGCGCATGCGATTATACTCTTATAAGTTTGACATTGAGATTGAACTGTGGAACGAGCCATCGCCAAAGTCAGAAGAGTTGGACAATAAGGATGACCAATAATCAGTTATAATCAGAGTCGATGAATTTAAAGTGTTAACTAAAGTGGACCAATATCACCACATCTTGACTCTGATACATCCAGTACACAGTACAAAGAGAAGAAGTGCTGAGGTGGAGAGACTCCCACAGCGTACTCCGTATGTTATCATGCGCGTTTACCTGAGTGCTGAGCGTCAGGCTGGCCGGGGGTGAGGGGAGAGATGGCAGGTGTTCCCGGGGTTAAGGCGGCAGCAGGCTTATGGGGCACGGTCAGATGGAGTGGCTTCATATGCGGAGCTGCCGGCGCAGCCTCCCTTAGAGGTTTCTGGTTTGTGGGAGGAGAGGGCATCGGCGTGGGCCCCGGCAGTTCTCGTTCCTTGATCGATTCGGACTCGTCTGTGACGTTGGGCTTTCCACCGAGAGCGACCGGAGGCGGAATCTCCTCCTCGCTGACTGGCTTCCCTTTCCTAAAAGATGTCAACATGGACTGCAGTGTCTAGGGTTGAAGGAGAAAAATCATAAACACATGTTTATAGGATTTAAATGAAGAAAGTTGCAATGTTTTATAATATTAAGTCTTAGATTCCTATATAAGAGGTCCATTTAGACATTTGAAAAAAGCTTGAACGACGGCAAAGTATGGTTGTGTAGGATGCTCCTCTTCCTCCTCCAGCTTACCTTTAACCCACGGTCATATCTTCGGACTTTGCTCGTCTCCCCTGCAGTCTTAGCATTGGAAACGGCCGTCTTATACATTTCAACGCGCTCCAGCAGGAGAGACTCCAACCCAGTTGCACCACCGGGAGCGGCAGGAGGAGCCGAGTGGGATGCGACGCTCACTTTGGGAGCAGTCGGCGTGATGGCAGGAGGGCGAGTTTGTTCCTCATCATCCTCCAAAACCTCATTCAGTTCTGCCTATGTGCGGGGAAACAGAAATGTATGCCGTAAAAAAAAGAAATCCAGATATTTAAAGCAATTCAGCAGCTTCAGATTCACCATTATATTAGAAGTGGAATGAACGGGATTAGGAATGCAGCTAACGATGTGTTTTTATTATCAGTTAATGTGCTTAATTGAATCATTTAGTCTGTGAACTGACAAAAAGAGGTGAAATATGCACATTACAACTTCTCAAACCCCAAGATGATGTCTTCAAATTCAGCACATCGGAGAAGAAAATAACCGATACAATTCAACCATTATCCAAATAATTATCCAATAATAGTTCCAAATAAATTTTCTGCCAACTCATCAGTTAATCCACTACGTGTTTCAGCTGTGAAAGGGACAAAAGACAGTGCGAGTGTGTTACCAGCAGATCTTCATCATCATCCAGATCGTCATCCCCCATTTCCTCATCATCCAGGTCTTTCATACAAAGTGCTGCCATTCGCTCTATATCAGCCATGGGGACAGGAGCTGTAGGTACACAAACGCATCACAAGCGGCACATCAAAATTCAAAGACCGGCACGCGAATAAAAAGAGAAAACTGTACTTTACATCGATAGACGTCTATGAATGAGGTACGGGAGAGACTCTTTCTTACCTCTGCCGTCACCTTTCTTCCCTTGTGATCTCCCTCCACCTCCTCCCACCAGATTCAGAAGCTCTGCCTCCAGCTCTTCGTCATTTCCCTCATCATCCATCCCTCCATCCGGGGACAGGTCAAGGAGCAGCCCCATCTGAGACACCGCCAGGCAGACAGAGAGACGTAACAACAGGGACAGAGGTGCTGAATCATACCTGTTGCTGACGTAACAGTGGATATCATTCACACATCTCCTTATCAGACATGACGGGTGTTACCTGTTTGGCTCGCGCTGCCCCTTGACCCCGGGGAGGGGGGTTCCGACTGCGGCTCATCGACGGTTCAAACCTAAAAGTTAAGGAAGGATTGCATGAGTTGAGCCAATGGAAAGAAGCAGAAGAACTGTGATGAACATAGCTGACAGTATCCGCTGCCAGTACACCTAGTGTTGAGTCGGCACTGACCTCAATAGCAGTGTATTAAGTAATAATTAAAACGGTCCCAACTGTTTTGTATGGGGTTAGCTTCTGTGTGCTCACATGTTAGCTAACACAACAAACAGTTGATTTTTACATAGACACTGAACGTACAGGCAAGCTGTTTACCTTGTCAGTTTCACGGACCGTGATGTTACCGTTACCGTTGCAGCTAACGTTAGTCAGGTCGGAAAAAACTTCTCATAAACAACGGGAGAAAAGACACAACATATACAAGCAGGCGTGTAATGTAACGTTAAGTTTTGAGCTGTCAAAACTGGAACGGTAGGCTGTGGAATTTACTTCCTACATTGCGTCTCCAGTGGCAACGCACGTCGCGCTTTACGGCTAGACGAAACACGCCCAGTGCTGACGTAAAACACCGACGTTACGTTACGAGGCGCGACCGTATGGCTCAGGTGGGTGGATGTATGACAGTGGGAAAAAAATATATAACGCGACATTTTGTCACTATCTTTCCACTTAATCAGTATAATTTGGTTGTTTTTTAAACTCAGCAAGCACACTCAGTAACATTACACAAGTCACATCTTCAACTCTCCTCTTTCACTCAGTTAACTCGTGTAACTATGTTGAGGTTAGCTAGCTGCATTTACTATATTTACTATACATTACTTAGATTTGGCTATAAACTCACCGTAACAATGGGAATTATTGACGTTAAGTATGAGCTGTATATCTCCTACTATGGTATGTCTTAATGTGTTTCACTTATTTTTGTTATTTAGGGAAAAGAGATGGCCAAAGCAAAAGCAAAGACCAACAACAGCAGTGGTAAAGCAGTTGCTATTACCTCATTACATGGGCTAACTTTGATGTGCTACTGTTGAACAGAAACTATATTTGTTTTTTGGAAGAAAAATTACATTTGATGTACAATTGCATCACTATCATTGATAGGCTCATTTTAATTTTAATTGAGTTGATCCTTATGTGTTAAGCCGGCGTAGCTCCACCTCAGCCTCGGTCACTCAGGTCAAGGAAGAGGGAATGTCCAAGTGATGAAATCTCAGAGATCGTTGATGTCCAGGCTACTCATCATCAGGTCATTCAAGTGATTGAAACACAATTAAATCACATTTTGTTGTCTTATCAGGCCAAATTGTAGATAAGTCATTCTATTCTTTTTATTATTTCAGGACGCTGAAGGAAATCATACAACAGTGGATGCCACACTGTTACAATGCCACCACTCCCCTCTGCAGGAATCTACTGTTAAAGCATTCGACGAGCAAGAAGAGACTAAAGTCACCGATCCTAGCAATGATTCTCAGCTGAAGGGCTTTAAAGTACATGCTGATAATGATGCCAACAAGAGCGGAAAGGATAAGGAGGAAATGACAGCCGAGGAATATGACGCATCACCATCCCAAACATGCACTGACCAACTCCAGGTCTGCTTGCAGATCTCTGAAGAGGGCGATGCTGCTGCTGCTCCGGAGGATCAACCGGGTGCAGAGGAGAACCCTGAATGTAATTTTGAGAAAAACCAAGAAGTTAGTCAAGAAGAACCCAGCAATGTGTACATGACTGACGTCAAGGAAACCGCACAGGAGGCTGCAGCGGGGTTACCGGCCAAAAAGAAGCGAAGGATGGGTATGTGTGGTCTGACGGAGAGGGAGCGGAGTCACTTTTTACAGACAAAAAAACGTGAAAACGGGCAGAACGGACCGGAGAGAGTCGGAAAGCAGATTTGTAATAACGCAGCCGACCTTGTGGCTCAGGAAGAGATAGTATCGTCTCTATCATCCTCACTATCCGTCCCAGTAGGCAATGTCACAGAGCAGGAAAAAGCAGAGATGAAACTTCAGTCCAGTCACTCTGGAGGGGAAGACAGGTCAGAATAATGTAGTGAGGAATCCAAATTTAGTGTTAAATATCTTGAATTATTTAGATTAGTAAGTGAAAACACACTCCAAACATAAAGGATACTTGATTACACTAACAGGATTAAATGAAATGTGTTACTTCCCCGTTGTTGATGACATTGTTTTTGACACACAGGGCAGAAGCTGAAGTCCACATTGCTGCCACTACCTCAGATGGAACCAGTGTTGTGTGTGGTCCAGGCGGCCCAAAGGGAACTAGTTGTGAGGTTGAGGCAGACATAGGGCCTGGTCCAGAGCAAAGTGGTGACACAAAGTCAGACCTACCTGCAGAGGAGGAAGAGGAGCAGCTTTTGGGAAATCAGGTGCAGCAGGAACACAAGGGAGGCACAGCTGAGAGTGTAGCTGAAAAACCTCAGGAGCAAATTAAAGACGGGGGAGATGGGTCGGCAGCAGTCGTCCAAAGTCCTGCCATCACCTTTTCCTCTAATACAACTCAGAGTGAGGAGACTGAGAAGCGGGATGCAATCGAGGCTGCTCCTCTGCAGGTGAACGGAGTGACCAGGACAAGAGAAGAAGAGTTGACCGGTGATGCAGAGGACGATGACGGAGCCGAAGCAGGTGCTTCATCCACACACACCCAGTCAGGAGGAGTCAGCGCGGTGCAGCTCTGCGAGGCTGCAGTGACACCCGGTGGACCAGAGAAGAAAGACAGCGTGAGTGGTGGGACAAGCCTTCAAAGTACCGGTTTAGTGAAGTAGTTAAGGAAAATACTGCAACTTATAAAAGGTAGAGAGAAGCCAGATAGTTGCTTTCTAAATTGCTGACACACTGACAGTCTTCTCTAAAAACAAACACCAAATATATACATACTTAAATGACTTCTTACCGTCTAACTCTACAGAAACGCTTGATTTGTTTTTGTTGCACACAGTGTGATTCTGATGGTGAACCTGGTGCTGGTCCTTCTACTGTGAACGCTGAGCCCCCTCAGAGCAAAAACACTACTGACCCGTTTGGACCTGGGTACTTGGATTACGTGTCAGACTCGCAGCTGAACACCATCATTCTGACGTAAGGAAGTAGGAAAGGGGGTTAAATCCCACAAGAACCCTGACTGTCTTGGATGCATAGTGTAAACCCGACAGGAAGTCAGACATTTTTTAATTTAATGTGCCATTTGTAGGCACTGTACTTGGACATATTAAACATATGCATTTTCAGGCATAATTGTTGCACGTGTTCTCTACCGCCACATAGTGGACACAGGAAGTGGTACATTTTCAATGTGTCATCTCCAGGGGCCTCGAGCTCTGCACAGTGTGCAACGGTCACATCAACCGGCCCCGTGTGGCCCAGTTCAACGCTGCTCGCAGCTTTAATTTTGTTTATTCCTTGCCTTATCTTCAAGAAGACATCAATATTTTGTTTCCTGTCATATCTACACATTTGAGTTCTCTTGCAAAATGAAAAAAACCCAACAAATTTAGGATTTGTTACAAGCTCATATATCACTTACTTTTTACTTTGTCTCTATTCAGTGAGGAGGTGGTGATGGAGGAAGATCATGAAGATGCAACAGACCTGATCTGTGGACTCATCAGAGAACTCTCCTCTCTAAAGTAAGTAAACGCTCCTCGTTCTTCTCTATCCAACATCATTTTGAGCTTTTTGTCTCCTCCTTTTTGGCCACTTAACCCCTGTTCTCTAAACTCCCTCTGTGTTCAGTGCCGGCCCCTCTCTTTCTCTTTCTCTTTCTCTCTCTCTCTCTTCCCAGTTGAACTTTTGACTCGTAGTACCATTGGTCAGTTTCAGCCTCTTCACACCCACCTCTGTGCTCTAATTGGCTGGAGTGTGAAGTTAGCTGTAGACTGCTTGGCACCTTAACCAAGGACCACCATCAAGCCCTGATGGAAGTCTTTGATGTGGGTGGATGGCAAACTGATGGAAAACTCTGGGCAACAAAGCAAAATACAACTCCCCCACAATCAAGAAACAAAATGTAAATCCTTGAGGAAAAATACAAAGTCAGACAAACTGACTCTAGTATAAGAACATGAACAATGGTCTTACGTTTCTCTGTCACTCATCCCCTACTTAACCCATCAGACTAGTCAAATGCAAACCTTGTAGAGAGAATGTTATTGAATGAGGTAATTTAAACTGCTAATCAGCATTCGTCTTCTTCTTCTAGTCGTAAGGTGATGGCCACTCACAGAGAGCTGGAGAACCTGCGCCGCAGCAGTAAAAGTTCAAGGGGCTGCAAACGTTGAGGATCAAGACCCTGCCATCCTGATTTTACTGTTTCCCCAGTGGTTTGTGGGTAATAACAAATTACTATTCATCTGTTGTCATTCTTCTTGTTTTATTGACCGCTGGAATGTGCAGTTTAATGGCTTAGTTTTTCTTGTTCTCCCCAAATAAAGCTTGTTTATTAATTATTAAATCAGTAATGAGTATTTTTCTAGAAGTATCAGTAATGTGCTAAAAGTACACAAACACACACACACACACACGTGGTGAATTTAGATATTTATAACTTCAGATATACAATTATTTTACACACTTTTTCACACTTTTTTTTTCCCCCACAAAGTGATTAGCGATGAAACGGCATTTTAGAAAAGCCACAGGTACAATATTCAAAATAAAACATGCTTTAGGAACAGGTATTTGCTCTACACCTCAGAACAAGAACAAGTCACTCATATTTTAAAAATTTAAAATGCTGACATGGTCACATGATGTTTAGACTATATGCTGCAGTAAAGTTATTACTGATGAATGTACGTCTTAGAAAGGTTTGATAGTATAATCCTTCAATGCATGGACAGGAGATATGAAACTGGACATCAGGTGGCCACGTTTTAAAAATGTGTAATATTTCCTTTGAAACTTGTCTTTTTTTTCCTCCCTCCTCCCAAACATAATATCTGGCAGTCTAAAGGGACGCGGTTAGGCTAGGCCGACAAAAAGACCAGCTGAAAAATAACTCCAATCAGCATTAGCGAAATGGCTACACAGCAAACGTGCCAAAGCATGCAAATAAAAACCAAACCACACACACACACACACACACACTCGGTAATAAACAAAACCACACTCGGTAATAAACAAAACCACACTCGGTAATAAACAAAACCACACTCGGTAATAAACAAAACCACACTCGGTAGAGGAGGATTCAGCCTTCTGTTGGTTCAGCGTCTGCACTTGGCGTACACGGAGCTGTACGCGCTGTCGACTTTCGGACAGAAGCGCTTGGTGTGAGCTTGGGCCCCCGTGGCCCCGCACAGAGGACACACATACTGCCGCAGATAGGGACACAAGACATCTCCGGCCTGGTTCTTCAGCCAGTGGGATCCGCACACCACCTCCGACTCCCCGTTGTGTTTGCAGAAACTGCAGAACATGCGCTCAGGTGACGCAGACAATGGTGGGTCTGGAGTTCTGAAACGAGTGTTTTTTTTGCGGTCTTTCGGTCCCCGGGAGCCTGACGGTCTTGGCAGTAGCTTTAAATCTACCGCGTCTGTAGTATCGGCACGAAAGGTGTTCGTAGCGTACCACGAACCACCAGGCGGACGTTGATCAGCCAAAGTGCCTGGCAGCGTAGATTCAGCGGTGAGATGTGGTGCACAGTCTGCTCCGAGGTCGTCGCTTCGGTAAACTGCGTTAATGCGCACTGGCATCAGTGCCTCGCACAGGTCACCAGATTCTGAGTGAGGAGCTTTGGAGGCTGGCAGTGGGCACTCAGTGTCCGTATGCCGGCCCAGGATCTCTCGGATTGTGTCCGACAGTCCGATGTAGTCTCTCCAGGGCTGGAAACTTTTGCTGTCTGACTCCATGAAGTGCGGCAGGTGATGCTTGAGTCCCCAAACCATGCCGTTCATTCTAGCTCCTTCTCGCCCAAATGTTTTCGTCTCGTCTGCCAGACTCTCTTTCAGTAAGAGGATAGAGTCGGTGACGTTGTAATAACGATGCAAAAGGCCGCAGACATATGGCGCTAAGCACTCGTCACAAAGTTCTGAAGTTGGTAATTGGTAATTGAGTACAAGTGGTGATCAGAGGCAGCGAGGCACACTCCTCCCCCGTGCCAGCAGCCAATCGCATGAGCTCATGCACCGCGCGTGCTGGTCATCAAACAAGTGGAGTAATGCCAATTTGGTCCCTCGTGCACAGTTTTTTTTAAAGTTATTTTCCCCTAAGGCGTCTCAAATTGAATAGGATGCTGTTAAATACCAACATTGCTAAGAATCTTGTCTATATTTCGTGTAAAATGTATTGACTGATTTGAGAGATTTGAAGTTGCAACCTTTACTGCTGAAGACAGCTTTAGTTCAAATTCTAGCTGCAGCATTCTGAATCATTTGAAGACTTTAACATGCCGCAGGCCTGACAACAAAATGTTATGATAATCCAGTCTGGATGATAGAAAAGTGCTAATTGGGATCTTTGCATCAGCTATGGATAATAAAGACCTTTCAGCTATGTTGCAATGTGCTGATTAAAGGAGAGTTGAATCGAATGCAAGACCAAGAGTTCTGACAGTCTGACTTTAGGATATCAAACAGTTGTCAAGAGTTACTATCACTTGATCAGACAAGAATAGTTTCTATTAAACAAGGCCCATGCACAAAAACAATCTCAAAATGAGGAAAGATTTGTGCCAGATTTAGCTATTAGCTAATTTAATTTGATAATTTGAGAGTGTTGATTCACCTTTATTGGAACAGCCAAGTATCATCAGCATAGCAGTGGAAATGAATTCCATGATGGCGTATAATTTGGCCAAGAGGGGAAATGTAAAGAAAGAAAAGCAACGGACCGAGATTCTGAACTGTTTTTCAAAAAGGACAAAATAAATGCCAAACAGTCATCCAAAGATACTTGACAACAGTCATAATTAGACACGATAGAAATATTGCATTGGCCAGGCTGGATAACAACTGAGAAAAGGTATTTTTATTCTTAAAACAACAAAAAAAACAAAAACAGGCTTCAAGTATAATCAGCCTTTATTGATTATTTAAAAAGTAGAAATAAGGTGCCATATGTTTTTAATCGCCACCTATCATCAAAATGGTATTAAAAAAACCAGTCTAGGTGTGCAGCCTGTCGTGTGTGCACCATCCCGCCTACTCTGCCGTCCCATGTCTCCGACTGGTCATCGACCTCTCTGGTTCTGAGGGAGAAGAGAGGAGTGAGTATAGCAGTGGTTATGGTGAACATGTTTACAGTTTCATTTGGGCCAAAGTGGAGAAAAGTTTCCACCAAAGTTCATTTTTATCAGTACCACACAGGGCCAGACTTTACTCATCCAAAGCACTGAGATTACAGTGAATGCTTTGTGAACACATATAGGTAAAGCTTAAGACGTTGTTTGTTCACGGTTCATTTTTCTCTCTTTGTGTACGCTGCCATTGCTGTTAAAGCAGGACTTGACTAACCTGCAGTGGTATGACAGATTGAGGGCCGAGTACAGCTCAGGAGTGCTTGGGGTTTGAACTCTAAATCTCCCCTCATGTGATCCAGAAAGAGCAGCTATCCCCGACTTGGTGGAAGATGGTGTAGTGGGAAGACAGTCAGATATGCCAGTGGGCCCCAAACTTGAGAAATCTGAAGTCACATGCACATAATGCGTTAAGGACTTTTCTCCCACCGCTCCACCCTTTTTAATTGAATATACTCACCGAGTGCTGTGCTCTCTCTCGTGTTGTTGCTTGGTGCTCCTTTACCAGACAGAGGGGAGTCGCACAGATACTGCTGCTTCAGGAGAGAGGCCTTCTGTTGCTCAAAGTCATGGCGCTGTAAACACAAAAAATACAATTTACAGAGTAACAAGCAGCCTTTTAAGCCAGTATGCTGTGATCTTTTGTATAGAGTACTGTAAATGCACAATGAAAGGGTGAGGGATCCCTCCTCTGTTTGCTCTACCAGACGT